GCTAAAAAAAAAAAATATCATTAGTTCAGTAACACATTTAAAATTTAAAAAGCAAACCAAGGATATAACATTTGGAGTAGAACACATTAAAAAAAAACCGGAGACCATATCTTTGCTCCTAATTGTCCGATTTTAACGATTTTTTTTTTTTTTAGGAAATTTCGTAAACTTTTAAAAAACTATCACAAAAACTGCAATATCAACAAAAAAGTACAAACTTTTTGAGTTATTCGGAATTTAATTTTACCATCCCTCGTAACTTTTTTTCCAGCTTCTTTTCGTTGGAGGATGTTATATAGATAAATTTAAAGGGCGTCGAGAAAATGACTTTAGCGAAGTTTCATTGAAATCTGTACATTCGTTTAGGAGCTACAGTCTATAGCAACGCAGGTTTTTCGGCCGCCATTTTGAAAGTGAAAGGCGGATAGTAGTGTCGATGAAGGAGGATCATCCTCGGGTGACCTCTGATTTTATATCAAAATTAGAAAAAAATCGGTCCAGTAGTTTCGGAGAAAATGCGAGGACGCCGGACGGACAAAAAAATTTTTATTCGTTTTTCGAATTCTACGTGTCTTGAAACGTGAAACCTCAAATTTTGAGAGGGGGTTATGTTTTTGAATTTTTTGGACCATCACAATGTTAAATTATTGAAAATAATAAACCAAAATTTATCAATATCAACAATCATTATTAATGTAAAAACAGAATAACGAATTAAGTTGGTATTTTAATAATAATTTTAAAAAGATAAAATGGTGGACCGAATTTCGTAAATCTATATTGTTTTATTCTACTGAAATGCTTCAAACTTTTTTTGTGAGGAGGAAGGTCCTCGACTTCTATGCTATGCGGGGTATCCCGAGCCAGGGATGAGGGCGGAGAGTTAATTCCGATGCCAGAAGACGAAGACCAGACAGCCCTCGGCTCTTAGCACTCGCACTGCTAGGAGCTCATTAATTCCTAACCCAATAATAACTGGCGACAATCAAGGACGTTGACCAAACGTGCTGACGCTGTTCCGAGGTGACCTATTTAAGGAACTGACACGTCAATAGTACCAAATACTTTCAATCGAAACAATAACTTTGAAATAATTCGAGATCCGCGGATACTTGGTTATCATTAGATGTGAAGATAAGCAACCTAAGGTTCGAATCGGGTTCTTCTAAAAGTTCTTAGCAGACCGTCAACGACAGAAATCTTCTTAGTTCCACGTTATATCAGCCGAGGATCGACTCCGGTGTGATAGAGGTCATGTCTAGCGGTGGGTGACTCGCTCACTCATTTACCTCCCGTAGAGCCTACAGGACCTGTGATGTCAGAGTTATAGTACATTATAATGATTATTTTTACATTCGAAATAAACATTTTCTTATTATTCAAACAATAGAAAATGAGAGCCATAGAACTACGACGAGATAAGAAGAGACCGTTATCAATTCGAGATGGCCTATCGTTGCCTAAGGTTAGCGGACTGATTACTCATTTTTTCAGTTTGAAAATCATTGTACTCAAATTCAATCACTAGAGGTATTTTATGAACATTAAAAGATATGAATAAAAAAGTACCGCGTTCTCACCAACTCGGGTAGAAGAAACAGATCTTTCGAACACTTTTGATGTTAGTAGTTGCAATAGCAATTATTAAAGATGAACTTTAAAATACATCCATTTACTTAAGATTCTTAAATAAAATGATTATTAAAAATAAAAATTCAGCGATAGTTTAATCACCGTGCATTGAACTTATGTCTAAAATTAATTTAATTATCCTTCATCAGCTGAGCCACACCAACAATTCGGTGACCTTCTAGATTCCACGATCTAGTTTCACTTTCGAGACCCAAATCATTACCTCTCTCCCATAACATAAAATCACATATCGATTGTTTTCACCATCTCTAACTCAATTTGAAATATATATCTAATCCAAAAGAAATATGATAGATTTAATAAAGAGCATATGCTCTAGTAATTTTTAGGGAGGTAAGAACTTAGAACTGTAGTAAAACAAAATAGACAGTATACTAGAGTTTGTGTGATATGATAACATGCAAAGAAACGTAGCCTATGCCCATTTTTCATTAAATTATTTAGTAAAGAAGAAACAAATTTTAATAACTCGTAGTTATAGAACAATGGCTGTCCTAAACAAATACAAAAATGGACAGGGTGTTGTTTACTTTACTTCGGAGGTACAGATTTATAGATCGTTAAGATAAGATAAAATTTATCTATAAATATTGCTCACGAATGATCATTATTACTTATCGCAAAGATAAAACTCGGAAATTATGATCAAGATATCATTTTCTAATGTCCATTATCTCAAATTACTCCAGCGAAAATCATAAATTCATTTTTAAAATTACGAGATAACAAATAACACTAATTTTAAATATTTTTATTTTTGAATTATTATTCTAATCGTGAAACCTTAGTATACGAAAGAATTTATTTTTTAAAAAAAATACTTTTTCAAAATATATTTTTGAATCGCTTTTTAAATATTTAAACTATGCTGTGAAGACATTTTGTCGGAACCGTATTGTGGAGAGGAACGAAACAGTAGACATTGTGGAGGTGTACCGTTATTAGTAGAACTAGGAATCCTGCCTGGAATATATATCAACCTCTCCAGCTGGAATAGAAATGCCTGGATCTTTAGTTATACAAAACAAAAGAATGGAGACAATTGTATCAGCTAATTGGATATATCCTTAGGAGTGATGAAAGTGGCGTGAGAAAGTGGTGGGTGGTGAGCTTCGTAATCCACTCAGGATCAAATCCTTATTTCCAAATATCCATATCTCAAATCTTACCAATATCTTCAAGTTATTCTTGAGAAATTCCCAAGCAAATAATAATAATAATGCATATTTATATTAAGATAGGGTTTACTCCAGAATTGTTAAACTAAAAATTAAGTAAAATAATTTAATGAAATTATAATTGTCTCGAATTTCGGTACATATGACTAGTACTGTCATAAATATCGTTAGAAGGAAATGTATACAGATTTCAACAGAAAAAGATTTTTTTTCAAAACCTTTATTAGAAAATAAAATTTATATCTATAAATATTACAACAAATAAATTTCTCAAAATGTCCCCCTTTTGCCTTGACACAGGCATTCAATCTCCGTGGCCAGCCATCAATAGCAGCACGCAGCACTTCTTGAGGAAAGCGCTCAGCTGCTCGGACCAGAGATTTCCAAGTTAGGGTGTGCTCCGTGGCATACCTTCCTATCCAGTTCGGACCGAACCCGTTAATCTGGTGGGTTGAAATCAGGGCTTCCTGAGGGCCAATCCCTCCCCTCAATATTTTGTGATATGGACTGTTTCTCTGGCTTCCCAAGTTTTTTATTTTCTAAACGCCAACGCTAATTTACATATTTATAGATAGAAATATCCTGGAGCAACTATGTGCATAATATTTAGCCACTTCAACTCTACTTAAAATCAAATTACCCTAACGATTACAAATGTACTTTTTCAAGGTGTTTATCCAGTGGAGTATAAATCTAAAGTTGGCTGTTTTCTCATTGTAATGAGTTCTGACGTCATCATTACAGCGAAGAAAAATAAAAATAATAAAAAAACCACCAAGACACCTCAACAGTCGATATGCCAATTGAAAAAAGTATTAAAACAGGAAATGTTAAAATACTTTATCTTTAACTCTTTTTTTCTTCTGTTTATTTTATATTTGTACATACAATTTGGACGTAGTCTTACCTTACTATAATTATTGCCTATGTGACGGAATATTATACACAATAAAAAAATGTTGAAATAAATTGTGCGTCCAATCTTTAATAATAATGACGATTGGAGAAGAAAAGAAGTTGGCAGCAATGCTCGACTGGAGCTGGAATACGCTGGCCACTACAAAGAGGCAATTATACAAATTTATATTCCAGCCTTTGAGCATATGAGGACGTGGCAGTATGCTTCGGAGGCCTCGCAAAGATTATCAGCGATGGAAATGTACTTTTGAAGAAATCTAAATTTCATTGAAATCTAAACGGCAACAAATTTAAAAAGAATGAATTTCGGAAATTATCGAGACGAAAAGGAATAATCTTCCGAACATCGAAGAAAAAGATTACGCTGGTTTTGGGCATGTTAAAAGAATGAGTCCAGAAAAATATCTTAAGGTAAGTATGGAACTGGAAAAATAAAATAAAAGAGAAAGTCGTGGATGGGCAACAATGGAAATCATCTTGACAGACATTTAGTTTGAGGAAAACAACAACAGCTAAAAATTACTAATTAAAATGGTAATAAAAACCTGAGAGCAAACATCAGAATGAAAGCACCAGAACAAGCATTGAAAATAGTTGGAAGAAAAGAAGATGGAAGTGACGGTATGTATAGCCCTCACCTTATTTCATGGCATACCTGCCCTCCAATGGTAGAGGGAGCAATATGGTAATCGTGTGGTAATAAATAGATTGCCTAGGCATTTCGGTTAGTTACCTTTCATATTTAAATAATATCACTTTATTAGCGTTTACTTTAATTCTTCTTTTGTTTAGGTTTTTTTTTATTATTCTGTTTAAAACTTGGTTTGAGAGTTTCGTGAAATGATGGTTAAAAATCTAAACTAAACTCTTCACAGTTAATGGGATCGGACTTTAGGAACTGAGATGACTTTCGGACGAACGAAGATGAAAGGTAATTTAATAACGTTGGCAACTGCTAGCTCAATCTTCCAATCAAAGAATCAATTGGACGTTTAGAACTAGTCCCATAAGGGAGCAGTTTAATCGAATTCAGCTGATTTCTGTTAAAAGAAATATATTATACGTCTATTTATATATAGAGAGAGATTTATTTATAATTATATTTATCCATCTATTATTTACATGAGTATAATAATCATACTATTATGGTAGACGGGAACCATAAATATTTATTTATAATATATATGATGATTTTTCTTGCTTTGTGATGATTTGTAACCTTAATTTTTGCTGTTGCAGGACTGATCCAAGATGTCCGTCCTGGCGCTGGTCTCCGCCGTGGCGGGGTTCGTGAAGATCCGCTACTTGGTCGAGAAGGCTGTGATCGACAACATCATCTTCCGGTGCCACTACAGGGTGACCACTGCCATCCTCTTCCTCTGCTGCATCCTGGTCACTGCTAACAACCTCATAGGTACCTCTTTGCTTTACCACTTCCTACCTCCTTGGTGGACATTACGAACAGAGCGCTCCCTGTTGTGTAACTAGGACAGGGCCGCGGACCCACGCCCACAGACCGCAGGCCACATATCTTATCACCGGATCTGAATCAACAATGTCGACTCATTCCGACCTGTTGCTGGCTTGAGGAGTTTCGGCGTCGAATATCGTTAGTTCGCCTCCACCCCTGGCCATCGTCTTCTTCACCTTGACATTCCGCTGTCTCCTTTCTCTTTAACCGCTTGGCTTGGCTATCGTCCAGATATTTAATCTCATCGTATTAGATTTGTTTATTATATACTGTTACAGAAGACATTCATGTCTTTGTTTAATATCTTCCAATAATAAGCTAGATCATGGAATTTTATGAAAACTAATATTGCAATAGTGAACAAGTAGACACGAACCTACATAGAATATATAATAACAAGGCGATGGCTTATCAAATGTATCAACAACTCAGATAAAATTAGAACAAAGTCTTCTCATTGTGAAAAGATGTTTGAATTTATTACGCGCTAACGATTCCTTAAAACCTCCCTGCATAAAATTGTCAATAGAGCTGCTCACTATTTGAAATTGATTATCTGCATTTTAAGGTCCTTTGATTTTCAGGTCGGGAATAAAATTGACAGAATAAGCTGTTTCGATTTTATAGCCTTGTTAAGGAAAAACATACACCTAAGCCGAAAAAATGGAAGACGAAATTTGATAAAATCAAAAATTGGACCATTCAGGTATCAACCTCGGGATTTGTTCAAATAGAATTAACTGCAGTAGATGTTAGCCCCATTACGGATTTGACCACAGAGGCGTTTCGGCGTCGAATATTAACTGCATACGGTTAAAAACTTAAACCCTCCCCTCCCTTCGATATGTCTACTCCATGATATAATAATATTAATAATTAAATAGAATAGATAATGGCCATTTGTAATCTATTCTTAAAAGTTTCTCCAACTTTATACCAAATCGAAAGAACTGCTTTAAAAATATAATTTAAACTTGCATAAGCGAAATCAGTGGATAGAATTGGGTGAGATCGATATGCGACCATCTATGTACATACCCCCTCGATCGTTGAAAATTTTATCAAATTCGAATTAACGACAACAGGTAATGAGCTCGTCATATGTATTATTTGATTACAGATTGTGTGGGATGTGCATTCTTTGTCGAAGTATTTTAACCGAAAGGCGAGGTAGGATGTAAATAAAATGAAATTTGATAAAGATTATACAACAGGTTTCCCTGTCCTTGGCCAAATTAGTTCCTTGATGTCTAAAATGTAAAATACGTTTGACATTTTTAGTTTATGAAAACAAAATTTTACCGTAGCTGCCTGCTTGATTATAAACTTTTCCTATCTTTAGGAAGTGAAGAGGAACCAAAACAGAACTAAATCAAGCCTGGGCAAGGTTCCAGTCGCCATGAAAAGCTACGGCTATGAAGTAATATGTAGGCTAAGACCACGTGAGCAATAATGTGGTCTATTTCCTTTCGAAACGTTGAAGTAATTTCACGACTAATAGATAATAGGAAGGCCTGGACCTTGGAATCGCCTTCTTCGATAATATTAGCGGCCCAGGATCCTTCAGGATGACCGGGACCTCGAGGAAGAACAATCACCACCGACTGCCGCAATAAGAAGGTGCCGAACAAAGGAGTCGCGAACAAGAGGGTCTGGCCTGGCTATGAAAGGAGCCGGGTCTCGAGTCCCTGCTGCCGTGTCCTTGGCTATAAGGAGGAAGGAAACAATATCTATCCGTATCGTTATCATTATCATTATTATTGTCATTATTGTAGCGAGGATCGGGCGAGCTGTGGTATATAGATATAGATTGATATCCGTATCATTATCATTATCATTATTGTAGCAAGGATTGAGCGAGCTGTGGTATATAGATATAGATTGATATCAGCTGTAGTATCCGTGTAATTATAGAAAGTTTCATCATTAACCTAATCCATATCTGAATATGTTGATACAGGTATGTGATAATGTCGTTGGTTTAGCTTCTCAATTTGAATATCAACTGTTACTAAAAACTTTTCAAAGGATCTTCGAGTTTCCCATTTTGTGGGAGCTCATATTATGGCGAGGAACGCGTGATGAAGCGAGACCGAGGGTAACCTGGAAGGACTCGGTGGCTGAGGATCTAAAGATGACAGGATTATCCTCGACGCTAGCAGCTATCCGCTATACATAGGAAATGAGATGTAGGAACGGCGGTAACACATAGCTAACCAGATCCTCGACCACCTCAATCTTACTCTAAGCTGCAATATTATTAGTTTACGTATTACATACTATGTCTTTAATTTTACTTCGCTTGAAAAACCGCAGTGTATTCCAACCTCAGCTTGTTCTAAATACATTATGTAGGAAGCACGTCGAAGTTTTGGAAACAGGTTTTTTAAAAAGAAGTTCAATACCAAATCGAGATTTTTAAAAATTTAATTCAGATTCAGGTAGTTTCAAATTTGCTTTTCGTAGCTATTAGTGAAGTATTTATTTGGCATAATCATATTCCGCATATTTTTTTTTTCATTTTTCTACTGATAACTTCCTCGGCTTTTTCACGAATATATCGATACAATTTTTATTCTAATTACGATTCACTGTAACCTCAGCAATATCCTCGCAGGTCAGGTAGATGCCCGTCCAATAAGAAAGTGTCGCGCTCCTTGACCGACAGTTATTTATAAAGCGTCGAGTGGAAAGTCATCTTGCGGGACCACGGTCCCAGAAGAATGGTCCGCGCCGATGAAATCCGCTAAGAGTGAAAGCGGCAGCCGCGAACTGGAGGAGAGAAAGTGTGCCCAAGGGTGTCTTTCAGCAGGTCAGTGGAGGCGCTCCTATAATCGATTTTCAACTATCGACATATTGTCCACAAACTGTCTTTAAAGTTCGATTATTAACATCGGACATCACAATACACGCTATTGTTTCTCGCAATAATTTTCTTGGCCTCGTGGCTCCGTAGCCGTAGTCTCGCTAAGATTCTGAAAAGCTTCTCCATAGGCAATAACTGAAATTAGCTCAGTTTTAAAATGATTCGAGGATTTATATCATGGAGAGTGAATTTGAATTTAACGGGCTAGCATTACCCTTATCCATCAGATTGAAGCTCGCGCATTCTGTACACAGCGAATACTACTTGGTCAACTCCAACTGATTAACTGAATCACATAGCACAGGCGGGTCTTCGGAGGGGGGGGGGAGGCTTCCATATTTGTGCTCCCTTCCTTTTCTCATCTAAAGTGATAAAATATAATCAAGTCTCATATGATCAGAAGTATTTTTTTTTTTCCCCAACCCCAAAATTGAATAATCTTATGAAATATATTACGTAGAAGCTTTAGATTTTTTCTGAAACGATTTTTCATTTAAAAGCTATTTGGAGGTTCCGTTTTCATGCAGTCTTTGGGACACGTCTTTTTTTCTGATCTTCTGAACTTAATAAAAATATTAAATAATTATCTCTGTAAGTATTATTGTTCATATAATTAATTACATTTAATGGAGCTTCGAGAATTACTTAAACACCATTTCATATAGGTAGTCAGGATCTTTCTTCTTCTTCCAAAATGATAATCTTTATATATATATAGCAGTTTTGAGGCTAAAACCCTCCAAGACAAACAATCTCTCCATATTACTAATTAAGCTTTATGTATTAATATTGATTAAAAAAAAAAAAAAAAGATATCGCAATTTTAAAAAGTTATAATTGTGGGTAAATGGTTGACTGTCGTGAATAATGAAGAGAAGAATAGTTGGGGTGATCAGTCAAATAAGAAGAAAAAAATAAATGATATTATTTACCTTCTTATTTGACTGATCACCCCAACTATTCTTCTCTTCATTCTTCATTCTTTAAAAAAGTTAGAATTGTTATATATTATATTCTAAAGACGTTGGGTTGGTAGCAACATTTAGGTTGCTATTGAAAAGTCTAGTTTTTGCAAGGGGGGGGGGGACGATGGTGCCCCGAACTGATCTAGGACCATCACCGGATGTAGGATAGGAGTAGGATCGCAGAAGTGCTCCATCAGCAATGCTAATGAGTGCATCTGTTGTCACTTCCGGGTTCCCTACACTCGCTACCTTCCGGCGACACGATGAATGACCCTATCAAGGTCGCCTTGCGGTTCTGGTTATCTTCGTTGTCTCGATATCTCTGTCGGTAATTGTCGAACCTCTGTAACCTCTGTAAGCGAGCCTCTATGACCGGGATAGCGAAGCTCGGGTTACGGAGAATGTTCGCCTCAACAAGAGCAGATACAGATGACGGCCGATGGAAGGAGCTGGAAGTGCAACAAGAAGACGAGGGGAGCTCGAAGAACTGGTCTGGGAGAGTTCAACGCCCTCCCCTCCCCTATCGGCTCTACCCAATGTCATTCCGATCGGGCTGTAGCCTCCGGCTGCCTTCTCTGAGGTGCACGTGAGCGTGCCTCCACTGGCTGTAGTGTCGGGGACAGCTCGAAGGCCCTGCTTTATTAAAGAAATCTCTGAACCTAAACTAAGTAATCATAAGTTATGAAATATTCAAAACTTACATTTATGTTTTTTAAATGTTAATTTTCGTTATTATGCTTTTATTGCCATACCCATACCCACATACCAGACTGAAACGACTAGAAACCGCCCAACGTTTTCGACTACTGCAGCACTTACTAGACAAACGATCTAAGCTTTCAATAAATTATAAACGACTCGTATATATGACAATAATAAGACCTATTTGGACTTACGGAATTGAGCTTTGGGGCTCCACTAAACCATCGAATTCCTCTCGTATCCAATCCTTACAATCCAAAATCCTTCGTAAAATCCTTAATGTTCCATATGTTTCCGATCTGGCCCAATCCAGATATCTATCCTTCCATAATAAACTTCATAACCATCCGAAGCCTCTCGTTTCTAACCTTGCTTCCTATTCGATCCCTGATAACCCTCCGAGCCGTCTGAAAAGAAGATGGCCTCGGGATCTTCTAATATAGAACTTTAGTTTGAGTTCTACCAATGGGTAGTTTCTCTTCATGTTGTACATGTCATGTTATCAATATCACATTTACTTATTGTATTCTCTATGTAATACAGTTGTAAATTCCATTAAAATAATAAAAAATAAAAAAAAATGTTAATTTTCGTTATTATGCTTTTATTGCCATTTTGAAGCGAGGAACTTCAAAGTTGGAATTTGCAATATTATTATTCTAACTAGTGTTCTTTGAACGCCTTTGAAAGATATCTACATAAAAATTGTAATTTATTTATTATTTTTTTCGGATGATAAAGTGTAAGAAATAAAGAAAGATGATGGAGTTGTAAAATTCCTACAGACACAGCGCCACTTGTGGCCATACCGAACTGTACCTTACTTGGGTATCTTGGGGCCATCCTTGCTATCTGACTGACGCAGGTTCGTTAGCAATGGCAGTTCCTTGCCTGCCCTATCTCGGTGTACTCACTGGGGGCTGTTATACCCAACGGAAATATTATATATAATATTACTGTAATATAAATGTACTCTTAGGATTTAGTCAGCTTTGATAGGATAAGCCTTGAAACTAACAATCGGTATTTTCATATCTTAGAGGAATGACTCTTCTCATTAATAATTGATAAAGGTTTTTATAGCCCCTTTATAACGTCGTGCCTGGGTCTTCGTCATCAGTTATCGTAATATTGTGGTCTCGTATAATCCAGGTAGTTCGTCAGCAAGCAATTGTTGCCTCTTTGGAAAAGTTATTTTGATTATTTTATTCCTTTCTACAGGATTCCTTCAAAAGTGAAAAGTTACGTGTTGATTTATATGTTTATGTAAATATATGGAATAAGTGGACATATTTTTTTCGGAAATGTGATTAAAGTTTCTTAGGCTGTATTGTATAAATATGTCAGATATATTAAAAAATAACCACTCAGAGCATACGCGCAGGCATGGGTGGGGGGCGGGGAGACAATGCTAACACCCTTCCTCTATATTTCGAAGAACAAAAATAAAACCCAAATCAATTACAATTAATCTATAATAATGAATAAAATACATAAAGTAAACTCAGTGGACTAGAAAGCGAAGCTAACGTCTATAAGTAGGTAGGCAGGTATTTTTGCCCCGCACTATGTACCCAATGTTCAAATTTCAGTTTATATTCAAGGATGACGATATGTAGCGACTTATCCTACCATTTTATGATACATTTATGTGCACCCTTTCATTTTTACGTGAACATTTCCCGCGGAGAATTGAGAGCTCACCACATTGCATCAAACCTTTAAGGAAAAATAAAAATATGTAATGAATTCAAGCGCTTTGTTTACATATTTTGAAATATATCAAACACGTAAAAAAAAAAAACTACAATATAAACACATGTAAATTTATTTTTATATCTAGTATTATATTGTTCGTTTCATAGTGATTATTTTGATTATGATAATTATCACTCATAATTTTTATACTTAATCTAAATCCTCCAGACTTTTTTTTTTTTTGTGGAGTCCATCGCTCTCTTAACTCAACCAGAAAGGAAAGCCTGCGCCTATAAATTATAGATTGTTAACGATGTTGTATGATTGTTGATTGTTGCAAGATATGTTGAAGAGAAGTTGGTTGCGGATTGCTGTCATTATAATTGGCTCTGTATTATTCGGGTCCGCAGTAAATTAAATGTCGACACGAACATGCCTGGCTGAACCCCCCACGTCCTCCCCCCCGCTATTCAACGCGACGTCCTAACCACTAGCGGATCCAGGATTTATTTTGGGGGGGGGGGCTTCAGCCCGAAAGTGTTTTTTTTTTTCATAAAAATAACGATAATTACTTTGGAAAAAAAGAAAGAAACTAACTACCTGTACGAAATGGTGTTTAAGTGATTCCAAAAACCCTTTTAAATATAATTACACGAACAATAATACTTTAAGAGATACTTTTTTAATATTTTTTTCGATAAAACACGGTTATATTTTACCATTTTGGGGGCCTTCAGCCCGAAAGCCTCACCCCCCCCCCGTAGATCCGCCCGTGGTCCTAACTATATGACCATCAATGTCCATTATAATTACTACTTTTCTTAGGATTAACATTTATATATATGAAACTAAAATATCTTTTAGAGTATTGCAAATCTTACTTTTGATATGCAAAAAAAAAGTTCACAATAATAAGAATTTCAGGATTAACTGAAGCGCGCATAGAAGAGTTGATTTAAACATGAACTCGGCGCGTTAAAGTAAACGAATGTTTGATACTTGAAAAAAAAAAAAAAGAAGAAATGTTTCATCATAAAAAATTCAGGCCTAATATCGATATCAATAACGGCCTATAACTATCGATACTATGAAAATATCGGATTTGCTATATCGATGGTCGATATTATAAATATTTTTTATATCGATGGAATTAGTAATTCTTCTGATCTCTTTAGTAAAATTAATTTTCTAGTGTCTGTCCTCTTCGTCACCCTCAACTTTTCTTCCAGACATTTCCACTAAACCAATTATGCCTTTATTATTATTATTGTAATATAATGATAATAATATATTTTAGTTTCATATATTTCCACTAAACCAATTATGCCTTTATTATTATTGTAATATAATGATAATAATATATTTTAGTTTCATATATTTCCACTAAACCAATTATGCCTTTATTATTACTATTGTAATATAATGATAATATATTTTAGTTTCATATATTTCCACTAAACTAATTATGCCTTTATTATTATTATTGTAATATAATGCCTTCCTCGTAGATCGGATTCAGATCCTGCATAGATTTCATTGACAATTCGACTCATTGACTTGGTTTGAGGAGGTTCAAACTAAGAAATGAGGGCAAATTGAGTTTATTGAGGGGAGTAAAAAGGTCCCACGTGCGCTATTCAACTCCGCAGTAAATTTTATATCAAACAGGAAAGATGAGTACATATTTTTTCTAACGATTTGATTCATACATAATTTCTAGCACTTTCCGAAAGCGGTAGGTTTAACTTATCGAAGTGATTATATCGATATTTCGATAATATCGACTATCGATGTCCATCTCTATCCTGGATTAAAAAACCTCTTTTTTTTCTTTATAAAATTGAGAACCGATTTTCATCTGCTGTCTTAACGTTCAATTCTGATTGTGTATCGAGCTTCCAATGTCAACGTTCTTAGGATCCTAGATTTACACTGAGATCAGAGAAATGGAGTAAAATATCTTTTAGTATTGTTCTAAATGACAGAACTGGATGGGAAGGGAATAAAGTCAGTGAACTTATTCAGCCCCTAAACCGCAATACCGCAGGCGGAAATTGCATTGAGGTGTAAACTATTTTTTTTTTCTCTTCTAACAATTGTAATATAATATTTTTCTATTCTGCTGGGCAATGGAAACAATAATAGTGTACGAAGAATCTTAATAACGATTTTGATTCTTCGATTTTCAGTAGGTATATATTTAATTGTTGGATGGTAAATGTACCAGTAATGGACAGTTTTGAACACATTACCCGATAACAAGCTTTATAGTCCGAAATAGAGTGAAAATATGAGTAGATTTGCAGCTAGAACACTTGAGAGAACGATGCCTGAACCATGATTTGCAATATCCAGTGAAATCATGCAGCAATGTCCTGTTGGTTTTTGATTTTTCAAGGAGAAAGGCTGGGAGGGGAGACTCAGTATTTGTTCCAGAGAGGTTCCTAATCTCTTTAACTTAGAAGATAAGTTTGAAATGTTGATTCATTCATTTGTAGTTTGCCATTTTTTTGTTAAAATCTTGAGAATTTATTTTAGGTTGACCCCCAAACTTGGGTGTATATTAATGTTGTAATTTAGGGAGTTTCGTCCAATTAAAAAAAAAAACAGGACCGACCAGAAAATACTTAATAAATTTTAAATAGGTTGTAACATCACGATTGTAAGAAGTTATGGGTTTATATACTTATTTAGGTTTAGTGATGGCTACCATTAATAATTCAACCCTGAAATAGATTAGGCTTTGGTTGATCAAAATTGTTTCCCTTTTTCCCCTCCCAACCTTGGAATTTCCCTAAAAAGGGAACTTTTTCACCCGAGTGGAACCCTGCATACAAAGTGCCTTGGAGACGGACAGGTAGTGAAGAGGCACCTACAGCTGGTACAGTCTGGTCGATGGACAACTGGACCTCTCTGTGTGACTTACCTTCTCTGGCTTCGTATATCCTTTAAAAGAATATCTTTAAGGGAATGTCCTTAAACTTTAAGAAGTCGTTCCAATTTAATGAAAAAATGACTACTCGGCTAAGCATCTTGGTTTTAATAAATTGGTAATTTATAATTCTAGAAAAATATATAATAATCCAGGCATTACTCATTAAACAGTTATGTTTGAGGAGATAGGTAAACCATCATTTCTCTAAATAATTCCTCCTAAGCTGAGCCGAATTTAGCGTTTAATTTGTCCCTTAGAGACAGGTTTGGGTTCCAAAAATGTTTATAAGAAAATTTAATATATTTTAAATAATGGCCTAAAAGGTTACAAGATAAGATAATGTAATAAATCTAAATACAAAATGTGAAATTTATTTATTGAGTTTTCTATATACTTTTTTTATTATTTTTTGGAGGTGGGCAGGGGAGGGGACCTAAACAACTAGCGATCGCACTGTTGAGATAAGAGATTTCGCTGAATAAAATTCTAAAAAACTGCCTTATCTTATTAGAAATATGACCCTTTATAAAGAATATACCTCAAATTAGTGAGGGGAGGGGAGTGTAATATTGAGAACTCTTAAAAAAAAAAACACCTCTAACAGAGAAAAAACAATACTTATGTCAACTTTTTCTTTCCAGATTGTGAAAATATATCATTTTATTTCTGGACAGGCAAAACCGCTATTGATAAAACGATAGGAACCAAATATATTGCCACGTGTTTGGCAATCCTTTCTAATCTAGCAAATGATGACCCGTTCGTTTTTAATCATTTATTACTAATGTAACGGGAAAACGTACCTAGCCTCCAGTTTGATTGGTTGGTGTTTTTTGAGAGAAAGAAAAAAACAGAACATGTACTACTGAAGGCTCTTTAAATAAGAGAATCCTTAAACCTGCTGAACGAAGTTTGTCGAATTGTATTAAGTTGAAACTTTTTACAACCCGTTGCAATCCTGTATTAAAACTTTGTATATTTATATTGAACTTGGCCTTGTTCAATTTTAATACATTAATATTAATTGACTATTGTGAAGAATGTTCTAATTAACTTACGTGAGAAGGCGGAATTAATTCATTTTCTAATATCCCGTGGAACAGACCTCCCCTTTTATCAAATTATTGATATCCGCCTGAAACTTCGTAAATAGCTTTCATCTCATAGTAACCTACAAATATTTTATTAACACAAATTCTTGAAATTGCCAGGTTTTCAATCTGGAAATCGGCAATACCAATTTTTTATTCACTTGAATCGTAAAATGATTTGAGCAAAAAATCGAGAGAAAAAAGGTGGCCTACAAAAATATTAGGTCTTTTGGTGTGACCTACGGCCCAATATTTTTGTTTTTTTGTGTTGTTTTTTTTTTTCCTGGATTTTATGATCAAATCATCTTACGATCTAAGTGGAAAGCAAATAGATATTAACGAGTTTTTAGTACTTAATTAAATACACAAATTTTGCCGATCTGCAGATCGAAAACGCCCCAATCCCAAGAGTTTTCGTAAATAAAATAATTGTAGGTTACGATGAGATGAAGCTATTCATAAAAGTTTCAGGCGGATGTTAATAATTTGATAAAAAGATGTCTGTACCACGGACTATAATATGAGTCTGTCTTTAGTAGTAGAAAATTTGTGGTTCGCAAATGACCCGTATCGATTTAGGAGCATGCAGTGACACTCAAAAATTTTCTCTTTGCACATTCTGACTTCAAAATTAATTATTAATTTTTTCTTCCAGTTAATAAAAAAAAGCCATACAACAAAAAAAAAATAGAAGGCAGGAAACAGCTTGCTTTAAAATTAAAAATTTACTTTACTTCATTTTTAAAGAATTTGTAGTGGATAAATAAAAATTCGACTCCCCAATTTTAGATAAGATGCATCTTAAAAACGATAGTTTGTATCATTATTTCAAGGTTTAGATAAAATGTTTGCTTATCAACTAAATATATTTTTTAATTCGTCAGGTGATAAACAGAAAAGTTGCTTAATGGACAAATTTCCCAACTGTAAATATTTAGTTAAGATCTCATGAAATTATTGAATCAATAAAATACGGAAGAAATTGGAATGTTATTCAGAATGGAGTCACTATTTGATATTGGGCAAATAATTATTTTGATTTGTCAACGGCAACGGCAACAAGGAAACCAACAACAAACCACACGCAATTTCGCTGACATTCGCTGGTTAGCTGCCCAAAGTCGACAGAGATATTTTGGTTCGATGGGTCTTGTTAAACCGAGAGATAACAGACGTTAACCTTATATATAAATATATATATATATATATATATATATATATATATATATATATATATATATATATATATATAAATTTAGAGTTAAAGCATTGTTTCTTGGACTCAAATACATATACATACTTTTAAAAAGGTTATTTTTTTCCTGGATAATTTGAAAATAATATTTACAATATTTTTTTTAATTATAGATAATAATTATAACTTTCGTATTCAGTTCTTCATCTTTAGTTGACCTTTAATTTAATTCCTTCTTTCACAAGAGTACATGTAATAGTAACAGGACGTTGCGGATTCCGAGACTTATTGTGCATTATTCATGATTGTCTTCTCTGTTAATAATTATTTAACTATAGAGATCACAAAAACATTAAAATAAAAATTTATACCAGTTTAAAAAAAAATTAAAATATCCACAGTGAAATATAAATAAATTTATTATCACTGCCTAACCTGTACGCAGCCCCTTATCACTAACCTAAATGTGGCCTTTTATGATAAAAAGGTTTCCCCCCCCCCTCCCCCCACATGGGCTAAATTAACAAAATATTTCAATCTATAATTTGAATGTTACTATTATCCTTGCTGTTTATTGGATTGAAAACCAAACTATAGCAGGAAAGTTTTCGACTAAATGAAATTCTACCAGTCCGTAGATCTTCACCAAAGCCATCAAGTATATCTTACTTGTCAAATTTGCTCTTCGATAAGAATCTGTTCGAAATACGATCGGTTTGCGTACATCTGAAACAGTAAGAGCCCATGCTGGGGACCATATAGGTTCGAACAAACCAACCATAAAAAGAAAGGGGGCATTAGCTTACGTAAGAACATGTGTGACGGAGTTGAGTGACCGCTCGTTCTCGGAACGACCGCCACATTAGGATGCACATGCACAACTTGGCGGGCCATGGCTGCCTTTCGCCGAACCTCGCTGGACGGATTTCAAAACCTCTTCTACTCCTTTCTCGACAATGGAAGAGAATTCAGGAGGTTTAAGATCGATGTGTTAAATATCCAGTTTCCTTTAAAACGGTAGGTGCAGCGTTCGTAAGGGAACAAATAATTCTCGGGACAGCCACGAGGAAGCCTTCCTAACTTTCACCAACTACCTTCCTTCCTCTCTACAGTTACTGAGCTGAAGAGTGTATTGAGGGCGATTTACGAGATAAGTCCTTTCAACTGACCGATGCGTCCTTTCAAAGTTTATGCCATTTTTTTTTTATAACGCCAAATTTGTCTCAGCATTTAAGTTCTAGCATTACATTGCTCGAGATTATCTTAAAGTATTTGATGCATATCCTCCAACAAAATCTTGTTCGGTGTTAGCTTCTTGAAGCGCATTTTACTCAAATGCTTTTTTTTCTTCATTTAAGCTACCTGAATAATATTTTTGAAAGATCCAAAAATTATAAAAAATTTACCCTCCCCCCCCCTCTTCCCTCCTGTTGTGTTTACAGACCACAACTCTTATACATATATCTTCGACTTTTTTTTTTTTTTTTTTTTTTCTGTTGAATCTACCTATCCATCGGGTTTCTGGCTTCCCACGAGTCCCGCAAACTGTATAAGATATCATGGCAATGATTGTTGTGTAGAAGCTTTCTGATGTGTTGTTTTGAGCTGCCTATAATATGAACTACAGATTGAGATCGAGGTGTTGCAAGCTATTATCAGTACTAGCTTTATCGTAGCATTTTACAATTTCTGTAATACAGAAATACAGATTTTTCAGGATTTGAATACTCTTGAAAGATAACATAATAATACTCTATATACGCTGGTTTATCTGTGATTGTAGCATGTGTGCATTATTGCGGAGTCGGGGTATTTGAATCTGCCTTTTTTTGGGGCAAATTATGTTGTAGGAATGGATTTGTCAGCTTATTATCATATATTTTGTTTCATCTTCATTTACTTTTGGTCGATTTGTTCTGCCCCTCTTCTCATAGTTTAAAATAGTAGAAATTTAGTTGTATAAGTCTTATTAATTTAAGCTTTTTCAAACTTCCGTATTATGGAATTAAGTAATTAAAAGTAATAAAAAACCCTCGAATATTTTAGAGTCTTGTCGCCATCAATACAACGAAATATTTCTTACTGGTTTTGGTTGGTTCAAAGTCTTGCAATTACATCATAAAGTCTATCTTTGGCAATCTCGGATATGGTTCTCACAGTTGTCCTTATTTAAATTACATTTTGGTTTTCATGCTTATTAGAAAGTTCTCGAGAACATATCACGTGTAAAAAAGTGGTGGGGATATTCCTCACTGAAATGTTATTTACATTTAATAAATTACTTTAATTAACAGTGATATCACGATATATCACATCGGGTTATAGGGATCGGCGTCCTGATCATGGGGACAAGAGTCCGAAACGTTACTCTCTCTTACTTACACTCATGAACTACTGAAATGAGTACGAGCAGAAATTACAGATGACATATGAAGACATTTTTTACTATGTTCTTAATGGAAACTCGATTCCTGATAATATAATCGATACATTCAATCGAGGTAGAAAGGTGCGAAGCCGCCAGAGAGGATGCACCGGCCTTGAACCAGCAGATGAGATAGGCAGCGAATTGACTCCCACCTCCGCCGCGTCCTGTATCCACTCTCCTCTTGTAATATTTACCACATCTTCCTGTCCACCTGCCTACTACCCACTACCTACTACCTAACCTAACTGATTAACTTATTTAAACTAAATTTTAATATACTTCCCGATTTAAAATAATCCGATCAAAAAAGAGAACAATGGCCAGCCCCTTTATTGCTCTACACGTCTAATTAAATTGAGTTGCATCTATTACGTCACCTGGTCTAGCTATTTAATTGTCATAATGCCCCAACTACCGACACAAAATACAAAAGTGTCTAGTAAGACTTCAATGATTTCATTTTCATAACATGAATTCATTGTTATTATACTCTCCTTCTTTGGTATTTTAATGGATGATTTGAAAATTATCTAATTTTTCACTTTCGTATATAATAAATAAAATATTGATATACAATGAAAACTGTTTTCCTATTTGTTTGATTATGCGCTATTATAGAAAAAAGGTTCGATGCCGACACCACAACACACACTGTATACAACTCCCGCCGTCGTTCACCATCCAAACCCAGTCCCTCCTGATCGATTTTAATGCAATCTTCCCTCCTTCGCTTCGGTCCACCCCTCGGACGTTTACCATTCGGTAGAACAAATATTAATCTTTTAGGAATTATTTTGTTACTGAGCCCTACGATCCTACAAGCCCATTTGATTTGTCGCGATGTAATCACCTCAATGATATTGAACGTATATAGTTCACGCAATTCGGCGTTGTGTAACCTCACCATTCTTGGGTCCATTCGACCGGTCTCAGCTGTCAGTTTGTTGAAAGAAATTATTTCAAGACCAGCTTTTTTTTGTTTTTTTTAATTCATTCGCAAAAATAAAAAGAACCACCATTACAAGCTCTTGTATCCAGTACTCTTCAAGGGAATACTGTCTCTGGACAACTTTTTTTTTAATGTTGACACTGTTTTGGTTTCTCGTATATATCTCGAAAACTCCGTTATTTTTTTCGAAGAGGCCACAGTATTCAAAATTAAAATAAACAAATCTTTCTACTTATTTATGACTATAAAGTTTTACTCTACTATCAACTGTCACAACAACTGGAGAGGGCCAAATTCTTTAAAGTGCGGTTTATTGCTATTAATAACCGATCTCCATGGAAACTAACCAAGAACCGAATGCGTTATTGTTTTGACCACACTACGCTTTTGAACTTTAATAAAATACATTAAAACTATATTCCTATTTGGTAAATTGGGGCAAGCATCACTATTACAGCGAAATGGCCGTCAGACAGTTCCAGCAAACCCTTCTCTTTGGAATGGAAAACCACGCCAAACCTATAATTTTGAAACACGTCAACAAGCTAGACCGATTTGTTGTTCAGTTTTATGGCCACGTTTTCAGCAACTCAAAAAGACTAGGTTATACCAAAATTTGAGGTAACAAAACTTCCCCTATCTGTACTACGACCACCATCAGCTGTACCTATGATTGGAAATGACGCCCAAGTACAAATGGACGCCTTATCCTTTAGAATTGGCCAGGGCTGACCACACCCACTCCCCAACGTGGACTGACTCCCAACCTAGCCTAGTTAACTGCCCACAATTGACTGTCAGTTCGGCATCCAGAGGGCCTGCATTCCTACCATTTAGGTCACACTCTAGGAAACTAATGCTGTTGATTAGACAGATTGTTTATCTTTTTATTATTTATATAAAATATAACAATTAAAAATAGATTTTGTGTTATCAGCATTTCTTCTTAGAGCTCCTCGCGTTTATTCTACTATTGCTTAATACCAAAATAAAAACTGTTGCAATTTTTAAATAAAATGTATAGTAACCTCTATTTTCGCAATCACTATGAACATGGATTGAGCATTTAAAAAAAAAAATGCATTTTCTGAAGAAATGTCGGGTTTAACACGACTTTCGAAGAATTTTAGGCAATTCTAGAATGAAATTTTGGCCAAAACCAACTCTCGGTATACGCAATTCTCCAGAACTCCACACACCTGACATCCTCTTCTTCCTTAAATACTAAATACTATTAATGATTACATTAAGTGAGAACTTAAGCATGGATCTAAAAAACAATTAAGAAATTTTAAAAGTGGATAGTAATGTGATATGGAAAAAAAATTTGAAAATTTATCATATTTTTATTTATATATTATAATTCTATTAATTTATCATATCTTTATTTACATATTATAATTGTATTAATTTCAATTTCTTCACTTGTGATTTAATACTTGGCCTACCTAACTAGTGAGCAATTGCAGATTTCAGCTGAATTAGTCCATTCTTTTCTGTTTTTAAAACCTTAAATGTATTGTTCGACAGATTGCTTCAATAATTTTAATAAAAATACAAATAAAAAATAAATGCTATTTTAATGAAATGAATAATTATATAATGGTTAATATCAAATATTTCTTGTTCAGCATTGACATGATGCATTAAAACGGCCATATTTCTGGACCAAATCCATCATCTTAAGGAGATTGTGCACAGTGAATGGCAGAACAGATTTCTCTTTAAGAGTCAAGGCAACAAAAACTCTAGAAGCCCTAAAAGCTGCTTCTACTCCAACTTTCTAAAACTGATGAACTGAGTGGAGATCATAATTAACAATATATTTTAAAATTAAATGTTTTTTTATCATTATAAAGGTTTAACTAAATGATTAGATGAAAACAATGTTCAGGTATTTTCAAAGTGCTGATCCCATATCAATGTTTGGGTATCGCCAAATTGCTGACTGTTGAATACTTGTTGCAGGTGATCCCATATCTTGCATCACGGATGGAGGCGTCCCTGGCCACGTGATCAACACCTTCTGCTGGATCACGTACACATTCACCCTCCCAGGGTACAACGGCAGGGTGGGATTGGACGTCGCCCACCCCGGGGTACTAAACCCCGAGCCCGACCAGGAGCGCAGGTACCACGCCTATTACCAGTGGGTTCCCTTCATGCTCTTCTTCCAGGTCAGTACCGACATGATTTGTTTAGGATATCCTTATTGATTGACGGGAGGAGGCAATTTTAATATCTTCACTTTGGCACTTGTGATTTGATAATTAATTGATTTCATAAATCATTTTTTAATTGATATATTCTTTATTTGAGCCGTTCATTTTGAAAGTGGCCTAAGTCCATTTATACTTAAATTGAGATATTTAAGGGTTTACGTTTCAATGCAATTAGAAATATACTAATGAGTCCGACCGCTTAACTGTAACTAAAAGAGTTAAATTTATAGTTTCTATTGAAATAATTTCAATTATTTAGTGAATAAAATGTGTTTTCTTACTAAGAATGGAGATAGGCCATTTTCAAAATTAACAAGAAGATTCGTTATAAGATCTGAAGGAGCTCAAGTCCATTCAACATAACTTTAGATGTTTCAAATTGAAAAAAACAATACTGAAATAATTTTATATATCTTTAAAACTCTTCAAAAACACAATTTATGCATTTCAAAACATTTATCTACAAAAATTACATAACAATTTAGTGGTTCTTCTACAATTTCTATGTGTAAAAGAGATTTGAAAAAATCATGATGTTGCAGTGGTATATATCGTAGTAAGTCCAGTATGTCCTTGAATTTTGCAAAAATGTTTCATAGATTTTTTCTCCATTGTTGTCCCCCGATGATCAGTATTGTTCTGTAATTCTCCTTCTCTTTTTCTCCATTGTTGTCCCCCGATGATCAGTATTGTTCTATAATTCTCCTTCTCTTTTTCTCCATTGTTGTCCCCCGATGATCAGTTCTATATTGTTCTATAATTCTCCTTCTCTTTTTCTCCATTGTTGTCCCCCGATGATCAGTATTGTTCTGTAATTCTCCTTCTCTTTTTCTCCATTGTTATCCCCCGATGATCAGTATTGTTCTATAATTCTCCTTCTCTTTTTATTTTCTTGAAATCGTCAGTTACTAATTCTTCTTTACTATCTTAACTAAATGGTCATATTGTTTTGTTCAACTCTATGGGTAAAATAATTTCTAAAATTTAATATTAATTATTCAATTTAATATTAAATATATGCAATTATTAAATTAACATAATGTACAAACAGTTAAATTTTAATTATAACTATGTATATTGCGTAATTTATTTTTAACTGCATTAATTAAACGTACCGGTTGTTCAACTATAGCAAGTGTCCTAAAACTGAGGCAAAGTCATTAAATACTAATTAATTAAAATTACCTTCATCACTACCTTAGGAAATTATCAATAATAATTAAGCCACTTTCAGGACTTAGGCCACTTTCAAAGTAAACGGATCTATTATTGAACTAACTTTGAAAACTTATGTGTCCAAAATTATTGTATTTACTCAGAATATAAGTACCTCGAATGCTTTATTGATAGATAACACAGATAAAACGGACTTATGCCACTTTCAAAATGAATGGCTCGTTTACGTTATTTTTCATCAAAATTTTACCTAGTTAAATAACTTATAAGTGAACTCCTAGGAATCTATAGCTCCATAAAATCATATAATTTTCAACTGTGTAGAGATGGCCGACCGTGATTATAATATGAGAAGGAGTTGGTATAATAATAAATGAATTATTAGAAGATATTAAACAAGAAACAGTTGTCCGATAAAGAAATAATAAGATGACATCTGTGATATAGTGGGTGATAGTATAATTAAAATATCAAGTATTATGGATATAGAAGATACAAACAACCATGCTATATTCACCTTTGTTTTTTATTTTTATTTGTATCTTCTATATTATCTATAATACTTGATATTTTAACTGTACTATCACCCAATATATCACTGATGTCATCTTATTACTTCTTTATCAGACTACTTTTTCTTATTTAATATCTAGTAATAATTCATTTGTTTTAGTTTATAGTACTTATTTGAACACACAGCCAACCAACTCCTCACAGATGATTTTTGTTATTATCATTATGGTACTATGGTCCTGCTAGAACCCAGGGATCCTCCACTATAGCAAGCCAATCTCCAAATTAAAATAAGAATAATTAATATTTATTTATAGTATAATTAATTTATTTAGTAAACAATGTGTTGTTCAACGATGAATATGATTTGAATTTGAAATTGAGGTCTAGATATAATTGACACTGTCCCCTCGTCCAAGATGTTCGTGATGTTACCATGGTCACTGCCAGCCATGTCCCATTAATAAGGACCAATTAGCTTCATCATTAGTGCGATTCTCATTCCTAGCAGAGCGTCTTTTCTTTCTATTCTTAGCCATCATTATCCTTTGCCTCTCTGCTTTTCTATTGAAAGTTATCCACAGCTTGATTTATAATTGAGATAGCATTCAGAAATATTTATAAGTTAAATTTATTCAAAATATAACTATATTAAAACTTAAATAAAACGCATGTTTTTAAATCAAATTTATTAACATGTCTAACAGAGAGTGAGCCTATAATTAATTTATTATTTAACTGAACCAAAATTACCCTCATAATATCTATGGTAAAAAAAAAAGTTCCTTGTGGACTTATTTGACCAAAACATTCTACTTTTTAACTTATTTACATTCGAATGTGATTTTAAATTAATCATTTAATTTTAGGTAGATCAAAATTATATATCAATTTTATTTGATGACTTTGTTATCCAATTGATAATCCATGAACTGAAAACATATTGTGTTGCAGGGAGTTCTGTTCTATGTACCACACTGGATATGGAAGAACTGGGAGGAAGGAAAAGTTCGCCACCTGACAGATGGTTAGTTTTTCATAATCATAATGGATAACAATGATACTTTTTCTCAATTTGATATTAATAATATAATGTGTTCTCCCCCCGCTTGTGATACATTAGGACTGCGAGGAGCCAGCCTTGCCATCGGTAGAGACAAGGAAGCACGACTCAGCCGAGTGATTCAGTACCTCATCGATACCCTCCATCGACACAACGTCTATGCGTCAGGCTACTATCTTTGTGAAATCTTCAACTTTATCAATGTTGTAAGTGCTACGAGATTTTTTTAACATCAATAGTTTTATTCATCAAAATTCAAAGTAGCTTCTTTTTCTTTATTAATTAATAACTTTTTAATTAGACAATCAGTAGTTTTCTTAAAGCATTATTTCTTGATGCTGATCTGAGATTAAGCTAATTTTTCTATACTATTTTTAGTACCACCAAAACATAATGTTTTGTGTGAAGTTTGTAATAATTTTGTGTAATGTGATATATTGTACATAATAAAAAGTTAAAATTAGATTAGCTATTTTAAATTTGGACATTATTGTGATTTACAGATTGGAAACATGTTCCTGATCGACGCATTCCTCGGAGGAGCCTTCATGACCTACGGTACCGAGGTGATCAAGTTCTCTGGACAGAACCAGGAGCAGCGAACTGACCCGATGGTCGAGATCTTCCCGAGGGTCACTAAATGTACATTCCACAAATATGGTCCCTCTGGATCTCTGCAGACTCACGACGCCCTCTGTATTCTTGCCCTCAACATTCTCAATGAGAAAATTTACATTTTCTTATGGTACGCATTTAACTCCTTTAGATTAAAGTACTTATTCCTACTTTCTCAATAAGTTTTTATAAGATAGTTCTCCAATTTTTTTATCTTAACTATTATTATATTTTCCGACTCCTACTTTTTCCATATGTCATTATTTGTAATTAATTTAATGATTGCTGTGCACAATAGGTTCTGGTTCATCTTGCTGGCAGTGGCTAGCGGACTGGCCCTCGTCTATTCCACGGCTCTTGTTCTTCTACCTTCGATTCGCGAAACTATTCTCATCAGGAGATTCCGTTTCGGTTCGCCAGCCGGAGTATCAGCACTCATTAGAAAAACTCAGGTATAATATTTTACTAAATTATCAAGTTTAGGAAGTAAAATCTTTTAAAATAAACAACGGTATTCCGCATTATTTAAATTGTTTAAATATCAGATTACAAAACAAGGTTAATGAGGAGCTATGCAGCTGGTGTGTATACTGTTGAAGTAAGCTTCCAAACAAACAGTGTTATATTTGACCAATTGAAAACTTTATTTGCTTTTACGTTTGATTATGCATATGGAATATGAACTGATTTTGTTGTTTTGTGAAAAAACGCTGCAAATACAAAACAACCATTTGATTTATTAATTTTCAATAAATAATTTTCTGTAAGGAATAGTTGACTGTAGTTGTTAATAAATAATAAAGTCATAGATTAGAATTAAAGAATTTAGACATTATAAAACTAATCATGTTATTACATCTGACTGTTTGGAACTGAAAAAAATCTAAAGGATGCAAAAATATGATAAAAGTAAACAGAAAAAATATATCGATGATATCAAAAGTCAATATTACTTTCTATGCACTATATATAAAGCTTAGTGGGCTAATTTCAGTCTGTTTTGAACGAATAAATCATTAAGCTTTATAACATCACGCTACGACCCCTAGCAACGGAGTGGCAATCATAAATGTTGACCAATCTTGGTACGTGCAGGTAATTATGCTAATACAGCTTCCTGTAAATATAAGCAAAGCACAGGAACAAAGGTTCAAGCTAACAATGCCTGTCGGCCAATCAGGTCTACTTGTAATGTACTCCTCATGTTTATAAAACTGGATATATATGTGTGTATATATATATATATTTAAACTAAAATTAACTAGAACTAGCTAAAGTCCAAGGTATGGCACATCATGTCTCCAAGGAGGATAGAAATATCTCTATTTAATTTTTTTATTCTTCTTCTTTGTGTCATTTTATATGACTCTAACCAGTCAGATATAACTTCTTCATTGCTATTAAATTACTTCTCTTTTTTTTCTTCTCTTTCTATTATCTATTTATATGATTCTAGTTTTTGTTTTGTCTCTTCTTAATAGCTCTGAAGAAGTACTACAAAACAGGTCAAAATATTGGCATTTATTAAATAATTTTATTCTACATGTATAATTTTAACCGCTTTCTATCTTCTCCAAGATTAAACATATATATATGTAAACATCATAATGATTGTATTAAAATCTAATTCTCTATCTTGATTATTAAAAATAATAATGATTATCAATTGTGGTGTTTTTTTAAGCACCTCTAATCCTGGGAAAACGATATTAATTTCTGAAATATATTATATTTATGCTTTGATGATCCGCTAGGTGGGCGATTTCCTCCTGCTCCACCTGCTCGGACAGAACATGAACCTGATGGTCTTCGGGGAGCTGCTGGACGAACTGTCCCGTAAGTTGCACCTGAGCAACAACCTCCCGACGGCACCGTCTACAATGGAGCTCTCTCCCATTTATCCATCTGCTAAGCTCAGAATGCATAAGGAGACTGAAGCTTAGCTTTCACTTTATCATTTATCCAACCTTTCTTTTAATTTTCTAAATTCAGAGCTATATTATATACACTTTATTATTTTGATGTTATGTAGCGTATAATAGATCATTATATATTTTTCATCATTTAGGCATTCCAAATAATACATTCCTAAAATTAAAACATATTATATTCATCTTTCGAAACTTTGAAGAGAAATTTTGCTTTTCATTAGATTCATAATTAACTGAAGAGATGTAATTGCAATTATTTTGCCTTTAATGAGATTAAAACAACGAATGCCAATTTGTAAAATAAATAAAAAGATAATATTTAAAGTGCCTTTTGAATTTAAAATCTTTATTGATTATTAAATTGGCATTTAATTGTATTTTTTATAATTATAAAATAAGTTATATTGTTTGAGCCAATATTTTTTTATAGCAATTATTAGTAATACTTTCTGATGTGCCTTGAGCTCAAACAACTTAAGTAATGAGAAATTGAACTGTGAGGAATAATGTCCTTTCTAAGTAACTATTTTATTATTGCCTATATTATATATTATTATGTTTAGAAGTTAAAAGTTTTTATTAAATAAGTATATTTAGAATAGAATTTTATATTGAATGTATTTTGTCTTCCATGGGATTGCAATTTTGTTCATTACCTATGTCTCTAATTCAAATAAATATAAATGTAAACTATAAAGAATGATACCCTGTCATATTGATTTTGTGCCAAAGAAAACCAAGGCAGACACAATATTTTCCTCACTTTTTTAATAATTAGTGATTAAAACATAGCGCCATCTTTAATAATTAGTGATTAAAACATAGTACCATCTTTACTTGCGTTCTTAGGACTGGAATAAACAGTATTGAATTCAGACAAAAGAAATTATTGGTAAGGAGTCATGAAAATAATTCTGTGGATAATTTTTTTAGTTGAGCAGAAAAAATTTTTACAACATTTTACCAACTTATAAAATAAAGCATGTTAATAATACATCCCTGCATAACAATAAAAAAAAAAAAAAAAATTATTATAAGCAATATTTTATCATTTAACATCCATGTTTGTTGATTTTTGTTTTTAACATTCTAATTCATAATTAGACTGTGGGTTGTAATTCAGTCAATAATCATACATGGTGGGGGAAAAACAGATGTATGATATCTGATTAAAACATAACCATTGATATAAAGAAATTTTCTTACAGTAACAAACAATTTTATTGTAAAAATTTAGTGTTGTTTATAGAAAATAGTAACTATACATGCCCAAAGTACCAGATAATAAAATATGCAATCCCAATATCTAACACTGATTGTACGTAGAAGTAGCTATCATAAATTCTAAAATTGTTCTATTAGCTTAAAATGAGAGAAAAAGGACAAAGTAAATATAGCCTCTTTCTATGGAAAAGGCAAATAATAATCATGTTTAAAAATAAAAATGGGTGGCTGGGAAATGGCGGTGATATTAATATCTATCGTGTTAGTAATATTTGTTTGTAGTAAAGACGTGTAAGGCGAGAGAATTAACAAATATAGGGAAAGACAAATTGACGATATGTGATAATTTTAAGACTTGAATTAACTTTCCTACATTTACATTAACATTCATTAAAAACATTTGTTTTTATCAAGAATTGTACATAAATGATATTCCAGTCACCCTAAATGTTGAAAATTATATTTTGTTGTATTTATAATTAGTTACATAAAATAAATTTTATTTTATTAATTTTTGTATGTTGAACTTTTATTTTGTAAGTTGATATTGTAGCTATTATATGAAGAGTAGCAATAAATGGTGAAATTAAGAATATTCTTTGAATCAGTTATATTTACAAAAGTTTTAATTTGGATCAGATTTTTCTGTGCCCTGATCTCTAAATTTAGTATTGTAAATATTTTACAATTTATGTTCTAAATCTTTCAATATGTTTAGACCGAATCTCAAATGATTTTTAGTTAATATGATAGTAAAAATAATATTAAAACAATTTCAGGTGAAAAGATTTTATTCAAACAAAATATATGTATCAATAAAATACATATTTTCATTTTATCGTGTAAACTACTTTATTTAACATGATATTATTTTCCTTTCTTCAGCAATAATGCTCATCATTCTTCCAGATCTATGTAAAGGGAAGAAATTTTGTTCTTCATCTTTAAATAATTTGTAATACATAGGTTATTAATAAGACACCACTTTCATTATTTCATAAACTTTTATTTTATCATTTACCTGTTCAACTTATTCAAATCATTTAGCTGTTGATGCAGTAAACAATATACACAACTCTTTTTATTGCTATTACTTCTTCTTGTTCATTTTAGCAAGAAGATAATTAATTTTACAAGTACTCAGATACTATTTGAAACAGGATTTGGAAAAATATATCTTTTTTTCTGTCATTTCTGTTCTTAACATTGGGAAGAGAACGTTAAGATGAGCGCAATCTCCAACAATCACATCATGAAAAAGTAAATAATAAACTTATTTACATTTATGAAGCAATACAAGCCTTTTACTTTAGAAGACAGCATCCCAACAAATTAATTAGATTTTTCAGTAGTTTATTATTTTAAATCAAGAGATAATGAACATCCGAACAGGCACATGGAGAAAATAAATATGTGCTATGTGCCATCTTTTATTAAGCTAATGATAAGTTAACAGGAAGTAGTCAGCTTGGAAATTATAAAGGTTAAACAACTTATATAAAATCGTTTTATTATTAATAATAAAAGGACAAAAATATGCTTGAAAGGGGAAACGAAACAAAAACCTAAAAATTCATCTTAATTAAAAAGGAAAAATTGTTTTTCAAATTTTATTTTGACCTGAAATTAAAATAAGCAGGGCCAAGCAAAGCTAGTAACGCTGTAAACCTAAGGAATTTACCATTGATGGCTAGCGTGACTATCTACACATCAATCTAATGCTTACACTTCAATATTTATTTATTATTAAAGTTAATAATTAACAAATTATTATTGTATTAACGCATATTTTATAGATGTCAGCTCCTAAACGGACAGCTGATCTGACATGAAATACTTCAAGTAAAGGGAACCCTACATGGTCATTCGGAATTGCATTCCGAGACACTAATGAAGTTACGAATGATCGTACTGATGGGCGTGTCTGGCTGATTTCCGGAAATCAAAGGTTCATTTACGAGAAGTGGAGGTGAGACTGAGGTAAAAGTGGTGGGGAGACAAACCATACTACTAGATCAATTAGTTTATGTAGGCCTCACAACCATTGTACATCCCTGATTTTTAAGTAAATAATTCCATAAAAGTAAATAGTTTTTTAAATCCGTAGTTTATATTTTTATAAACCATTTTCAACTATTTTTTCTTTAAATAGTCAAGTGGGCAATAAATTTTTTAAAAAAGAGGAAACTTCAAAATTAACTCAAAGAAAAAAATTAATCTTTAACTGTTGTGTATATTTTTCAGTTCTTTTCCATTTTTCTCAACAAATTTATTGTTTTCGCAATACCTTTCCTTAATTTTTGTAAGTAGTAGACTTATATTTTATTAACTTTTGTCAAACTGATTTTCTATGAGACTAACCTTACTACCAGATAGGTTAGTTTATCTAGGCCTCACAACCATTGTAAATAACTAATTTTTATGTAAATAATTTCATAAAAGTATAGTTTTTTATATCCCCAGTTAATATTTTTATAAACCATTTTAAACTATTTTTTCTTTAAATAGTCAAGTGGGAAATAAATTAAAAAAAAAAAAAAGTGGAAACTTCACAATTTACTTAAAGAAAAAAAAAAAATCTTTAGCTGTTGTGTTTATTTGTTATTAATTTTCCATTTTTCTTAATAATTAATTATTTTCGCAATACTATTCCTAAATTTTTGTAAGTAGTTGACTTATATTTTTCTAACTTTAGTCTGAACGATTTTCAGGCACTAGGAAGTAATTATTATACCTCCATTTTTCTCTTGATGTCCAATGCTATAAAGGACAATGCCCAAATAAGCTTTTTAAATTAAACACATTATTATAAGTCGACAATCCATCAGATCCATGCTGCGTGTTATCTCGATGTCAACTGAGCTAAAACGGTCAGTAATGATTGAACGTGTAGGGGTCTTCATGATCAAAGCACTCCCGAGCAATCTTCGTCATTCTTGTGACTTTCATTCACAAATGATCGTGTAAAGGGTTGCTTAATGGAATCTTAATAAAAGTAAACAAAGATTATTGTCACTACACAAGAATTTCTTCCTAAAATTATTATTATTTTGCTGATAATGGCCACAATACATGCAATACATACGATGATGTACTTTTGATCTTATTTAATTAATATGCACCATTTTTCCTGTTTAATGAGGTTAAGTTATGTCGGTAAAATGTTAATCAACTACAAAACTTTAATCATTATCTACATATTAACTCCTACCTTCAACAAAGAGACGGTTTCATATAATATTTTAAATAAAATATATCAACTTCATGATAAAAAGAATAAGACGAAATATTATTTTAAGAACGGACAGTGTATCTCTGATTTTAAATTTATTACTTATTAGTAAGAACCTTTCAGATGGTAGTTGGTGGTAAGAACCTTTAAGAAATAATATAGTATATGTCAGCCAGGAAAAAAAAGGTAGTATAATAGTAAATACAGTATCTTTAAAGAGGAAGAAGTTATTAAGTAAAACAAATCTAATGGACTATATCTTTGTTGATAATTGCCCGATTTCTATGGGATTTTTTTTGTAGGCAGTTTAGTAATATTTCTAATAATCAGGGGTACAATGAAGAAAGAAATGCATACTTTTTGAGTTATTCGCAAACAAATTTTTTTTTCCTTAAATTTAGAGATCTTTAAAATGAGTGCTCAATCGTTAGATTTGACAAAGTTATGGTATTGGTACAAAAAAACACCTTTGAGAAATAACATATTATTATGTTAGTTGGATTTAGGCATATTGGATTTCCACTTGAAAATACTTTTTTACTTCAATCCTAAAAAAATTATTTGCTTTAATTTTTAACAATTCTTCATTTAATTTTGTTTGATATGAAAATATATATATATTAATGTAAATATTACATATTGCAATTCATGGGTCAATAGAGTTCTAAATAGTGTAAGGTTATGTTTTACAAGGAAAAGTAAACAAACCGTTTCTAAACAAAAAACTACTTGTTTTTCACAACAAATACATTTAATTTATTATAATGACTTTAAAATAATCTGGTGCATACAACACACAACTTTCACTTACCCCTCTAGTTGAATAGAATGATGGGCTTATATAAAATTTTTGACGTGCATTTTAAATGGTTCTAAAGCTTAAAGCTTACAGCTCATCTTAAGATAATGCTCTTAATAACAAAAACCCTATTTATTATACCGATAGTGGGGAATAAGAACCTGGTTTTCCATCTGTTTTTGTAAATCACATAACTCCACACTTCGAGCTATATGTGCCTTTCAGTTGAAAGAATGGCTAAATCCGATTTCAACATTTTTGAATAATGTTATTTTAGTGATATTTCTAGCAGGAAAATTTATAATATCTATACAGACAGTGAGTAGGTTGATTCTAGAGTAGATGATTGCAATGTTGAAATATAGAACTGTGAATAAAGGTATAAATTTTTCCACTAGAAACATCACTAAAATTAATAATAAAAAATGTTGAAATTGGAGTTGTTCGTGCTGTCAACAGAAAGGCTCATACATGCCTAGATAGATTTGAAAATACATTTGTATATTTAACCTATAAATGATTATGGATTGTACAAATATTAGTTATTAAACTTATTTTTTATTGTAAAGTTTACGAAAATGAAATTACAAGATTTTCATTGCCTGCCACGGATAGTTCAAAAGTTGTCACACTAATTGTAACTGGATAATGTTGGGATTTCACAAAGGGGAAATTCACACAATTATTCACTAATTTAATTTTCGAAAAAGTACATAATAATTTTTCGGAATAAACAGAAGATAGATAACGAATTATTTAAAAAAAATAATATCAGATCTGGAGTACAAAAATACTACAGTAAATGTATTTAAGGTCATAAACATATTCTCTTTTTACTGTAATATATAGTAAGGGTAAGTATTGCAATCATGAAAATTGTTTAATCTGAGTCTTCAACGGAAATACATGTTTTGGGGTACCCTGAATCCAAATAACCAAGTCCTAAAAAATGGTCTGTGTGTTTGTATGTTAGCAGTGTAGCTCAAAAACGAATAATCGTACGAAACTGATATTACGTATTTAAGATAGCTATATGCCTTAGATGTGACAGGAACTTTTTCCTTAAAATCGGCTTACTGGAAGTACCACTTTATATAAACGTTGAAAGACATTTTTACAATTTTCTCAAAAAGGGCTATAACGATTTTGATTTAACTCTGTGTATCATTGTATAATTAAGTGGTCTTTAATATAATTTAGGTCTTATAAATATGGTTTATTTTAAACAATTAACTATCTCTCATTATTAAGAGTTACATAAAAGTGCTAAATATAACTATTGAAAAAATTTGATAATTGAATAAAGGAGAAAAAAATAAAAATGCTTATCCAGGTCGAAAATGAATCTCCGGGAATACTAGTCAGAAGGCATACGTATAAATCGTTGGAAAGCGAAGAATAGAAAAAACAATATCTAATATACAATTTTGTAGAAGGTAACGGATAGTGACAAAATAATTATAAATAATAATTTTTGAAAACTAATAATGTTTAACGTAAATCACATGTTTTCAAGGAAATTAAATAGAATTTATTAACTAAATGTAACCTTTTAAAATATTTTTAAGTTTGAAAAAAGTATTTAATATCCACCTAATCAAGGCAATGACACTGTTTAAAAAACTATTTCATTGTACTTGTATGAAAGAAGAAGTAAAATATGAAATCATTTCATGGATGTATAAAGCATATGTTCATAACCTTAAATACATTTACTGCAGTAATGATAATTCTAGATCTGATATAATATTTAAATAATTAGGAATCAACGTCCGTTTATTCCGAAATATTGTCATGTAACTTTATAGAAAATTAATTCCAACAGTATCCACTACTATTTCATTGTACTTGTGTGAAAGAAGAAGTGAAATATAAAAATATTTCATAGATACATTTATAACCTTAAATATATTTATTGTAGTTTAATAACTCTAGATCTGATATTATATTTAATATCGTCCGTTTATTCTGAAAAATCATCATGTAACCTTTTAGAAAATTAAATTAGTAAATAGTTTGGTGAAATACCTTTTGTGATATACCAACAGTATCCACTCACAATAGTGTGACAACTTTTGACCTGTCTATGATAGACAATGCAAATCTCTTAATTCCGTTTCATTAAAGTTTGCAATGGAAAATATCAGTGTAATAACTAATAGTCGTACAATAAATAATCAACGGATCGTACAATCCATAATCAACCGATGATATAATAAATAAAACCTTTATTATTTTATAAAATTCTCAGCTTTCCAACGATATATTATACATATATCTTCTGGCTATTATTTATGGATATTCATTTTCGACCTGGATAAACATTTTCCTTTTTTTCTCCTTTATTCAATTATCAAAACTTATATTTAGCCTTTTTTCATAACTCCTAACAATGAGAGATAGTTAATTTTTTTAAATAAACCCAATTAAAGGTATTTTAGAGGAAGATACATTGAGTATTGGGTATTTAAATCCTGTAAGTGACATTAATGTGGATAAGACCTAGCTGATATTAAAGACCTCTTAATAATACACTGATATACTGAGTTTAATCAAAATCGTTAGTGTTTTGACACTTCTTCTGTAGTGTTTCCGCAGGCATTGCTGAATTAATCCGACTTGTTCCTCTCTCCAAATCAAAACATCTATAAGTGGCTTCTCTCAAACTTTCATTCCTCGCCGGCCTGTTACTGTCTGCCTCTCAAACACATGGCACTCGCTCTCCCTCCCATCTGTATCCCTCCGCCTCTTTGTCCATTCCATGAAAGTAGTTCCTGACGCCACACGTCACTATTTACACGCCACTATTCAAAAATCTATTGACCCATTAATTTCAATATGTAATATTTACTTTACAATATATATATATATATATATATACAGTGAATAGCAACGAGACTGTTCTTATCTAAACATTCTGACACGATAACGTTACCAAGAGCCGCCGCGCTGCCAACAGCTTTCATTGTTTCTTGAGCTGTCAGAAAGAATATAACTGCCAAGCAGTGACAATGAAATATGCTCCTTTCTATTCCACTGAAGCACAAATCGACTGCCCTAAGTGACTATAGCAGTCGCTGCGGTGGGCAGTACCAGTGAAATAGTACCTTAAGGTTACCCGTGTTTAAGTGATCAAAAATTAGAATAACCGTGGAATATACAATAAATAGATTGTAAAGAAATATATTATTACAAATAGGGTAGATAAGTTTTAAGCAGAAACAGTATGAAAGGGGCCATACAATTGTGAGGTTAAGCAAATTCTCTGTTTTAAAAGAAAATTCTTAAAATATATAATCTAATTATTTTAGTGATTGGAATGCATAGATTGAATCAACTAAATATAATAAACGCTGATCATTAAAACCTACCTGTAAATGCTCAAATTGTGGTTATATCGCCATAACTTTTACAATTAAACTAACCTGTTTCCCCAATCGATCTTGGCCGTGATGACAACGCCAAGTGATCTCATCTGGTCCTGGGTCAAAGTCCCTCCGCACAGCTCCCTGCGCCATTCTATCAGCTCCCTCATGACCTTGCTCAGGGTCGAGAACTTGTAGCCTTCTCTTACCTATGGAATCGTAGAAAACAAATTTTGTAAATAAGATCTAGAGTGTAAAATATCAATTAGATCAAAAGCAATACATTAAAGAAAAATTCCAAGCCTTTTTGGTCATATATTTACATAAACAAATTAACAAGTTTAATAAAGCTGGAAGAGAAACAGACATAAATTTAAGAAAAAAATTGCTTACAACATATAAATTTTTCCATATGGTATTCCATTCTCGCAGAACCAATGTGACTTCCCGGACCACAGGATCCTCCACGGATACTACGGGTTCACAGTTGCTGAAAATGAAGAAGGATATTGATAAAATTTAATTTAATTTAATTTTTAAAAATTAAATATGGATTAATCCAATTCTGATCGAACTAATTATTAGTACACACTAGTTTTACATAAACCAATATACCTCCCAGTATAATATCATGGTAATGCTGTTTTTAAATTAATCTTCTGTTTATAATGTTTTAATTATTAAAAATTGTTTAACAAAATTATATCCCCACTCCTTTTACCATAACTATGCTCTCTTTGCATGTCCCTCAGTTCCAATGATGGACAAACTTGTACTTTGTATCATAGATGCTGATGTGCAAATTAAAATATATTAAAAATTTTAATATAAATAAATAGATGTAGTCTAATAAAAAAAAGATTTTAAAAGCTGCTCAAGTAAAAGTGTAGACCTGAGGAGGGTAAGGAGGCCTTTCGACCCAAGGTCTGCCTATGTGTACAATAAAAATAAAGCTAATGGACGGTCAGTAACTGGTGAAGCCAGAGGCAGTCCAGGGTAGAGACAGACAGTTGGGAACAGCGTCTGGAAGAGTACTTAAGCAAAGGAGTTCCTTGGAGATGATGGTCCAGGAGAGAAGCAAGCTGTCGGTACTAGGGAGAAGCGCCTAGAGCCAGGAAGTCAGCTCGAGATTGCAGCGACAAAGCACCAGAAAAAAGTAGCTCAACATTAGGCCATATTCTCTTAATCAGATAAATTTTAATATATTTAATATGGCCCTTGTAAAGTTGTGTTGGGAAAATTTACAATTAGATCAAATAGTAGAATCAATTATAGAAATATACATAGCACTCCACAAAATACTTTCATTTATATTTTTTATGTGAAAATTACAAATAGATTTTTCTTTTATTAAATCTTGACTCTTTAGGATACATCCTAGCATAGCAGCAAATAGATATAGAGATACAGATAGTAAATTAAAAACATGATTGTAATCTCATCATCTCATGTCTGAAAACTCCCCTTGTAATTAAGAACTCCACTACTAATAAATCATCCTACGTAATTTATAAATAATTCATTTCCTGGAAAATGGTGTTTACAGAAAGGATTTGGAGTCCGCTATATCTGACCATTTTGTAAAAAAAAAATCACAAGAAATCGAGTTGTTATATCTAATCTATTAACATAGCTATAAGGGTGGTCACTATATGTCCATTAAAACTATGTTACTATGCTATGCTGGCTCACTACTTTAGACTTTTCATCAGTATAGCCTTCAAGTCATTCATTATAAATGATAGCCTATATATGTATTTGTTATATTATTTTTTTCATATTCAAATTTTTTTTGTATAATTTTAATCTTCTTCCTTCTAATTAATTTTTAAAAAAATGGTTAATGAAAATAAACAACACCAAAATATTTCCTTATAAGTTAACAATACAAATATGACTAATTTAAGATGTTTTACCTTTCATTTTCCAACTTGTATGGTTTGATATGGACGTAAGAAGCTGGGAAAATGCCCTGGAAAAACATTTCAGAAATCATTTAATTGAACAATTAATAACACAAAATATTTAGATGAAAATGCTCCAAATTTTTACATGATGGCTTAATATTACCAAATTGATAGCCATAACAAACAATGAAAAAGTTTCGAGCTTAAATAAAATAATAAATTATCCAAATCTATATATATATATTTTTTTTGTAGGTATGGATCAGAATATATACAAATTAAAAACAAAAAATTACCTTGATAGATCGGTTTTTTGTAGCATATCCTCTGTACCAACCTATAAACATAAAAAAATAGTATTAATCAAGAGAATGCTAACTAATTAATTAACTATTTGATTAATAAATGTTATTTAATTCATGGGTGAAATAACTTTATTAACCGATTTCCTCTTTATAAAAAAATCATATAAATGAGATAATGTCAAAAGCTTTAGAGCTTGAATCAATAACAAATTAGTGAATATGGTGTAGTAGTCTTAATTCTGAATAGTTTATGAAGTTTAAAAGCTATTGTGAATTTGAGCTGAAGGAAAGGCAGTCAATGGTTGTCCAAACCCAGCGATTGTTGCATCTTCATGTCAATAACCTATCATCAATAACTTATAGGAACCTACAAATAAAAAAAAAAAAAAAAAAAAAAAAAAAAACCTGCATTTCAAACATTTGTCAAGAAGGCTGAAAAAATCTTTTATGTGGTCATAAGCCCGACACCTTTGGAATTGAAAAAGAAGAAAAAATCTTATTATTTATCAAAATCACATAATATTTTTGGATTTAAACTGCAAATCAGATGTGCTACATGGTCTATTGACCCTCAGAGGAGTCTATGTTTCATTAAAAAAATATATTTCAATTTATTTATATATAACTAATCAGTGAGGAAATATGAACAATTATATTTATGATGTAAAAGTTATATAAATATTTTAATTCCAAAAAGAGTGGTACCAATATTCTTCAATTTATTAATTGTTAAATTCCCTGGTGAGCAATGTTCTGTAGGAGAAAGCAGACCTGCGGTAATTTACCAATGCTATCCAATTTTTTCCATTTATTAAATCCATTACTCGATCCTTGATAAATTTATAGATTTTAACCATTTAATGCTAAATTGAGAGAGTATCGGAGAAGCAGCCAGGAAGTGATACAGATCTTCTGTTTCGTTTGTATTACACATGCTACAATTATTATTTGTTTGCTTGATGTATTTATAATTTAAGCTTAAAACATCACCTCTGGTTTTAATTACTCGTCTTATCATCTTCAATGAGCTTTTGTCATCAATATAATTTACTGAAGTTAAATGAGGATAAAAAGTGAAAGTTTTAGAATTCTGAACTTTAAATGCGTATTGATTATATATATCTTTCTAAATTTGAATTCTTAGTAAAGATAAATTAACACTCCATAGTTTAACATCATCACAGTTAAAGCGATTTAAGTTGAAATTTAATCCATGAAATTCTATCAGATTAAATACGTCACTAAACCATGCTATTATTTTTTAATTATCTGGAGTGCTAATATTTTTGGATACCTATGTGATGAAAGATTCAAAATTGTTATAATGTAATCAAAATAGAGTTTAATTGTGAAGATAAATAGCGGATCTATTTTAGTCTCAGAGTAAATAAAATGTGTTGAAGTATACTTTGGTAATCTAAATAATTTTTTAAGAAAGGATCTTAGTAGTCTCCATGGCTTCATAACTAAACCCACCCTAGATTTGTTCTCCGTAGCACGTCGCTGTCCTAGTAACAGCCAAATTATAGTGGCCTTCTTTATCAATGGCACTCTTGTCGAACTAAAAATATTTTGTGACACTTAATTATTATTTATAATAAAATGTGAAAAATATTTGGTAATTAATTGTTTTAAAGATGTTGTATCATCTATAATTTTTTCGTTTCACTTTAGTTTGTCTGAAAATACATATTCATGCTAAAAAGAGGGAGCAAATTTTTATTGTGGTATATAAATGTCTCTAGAATGATATCTTTATATTTATTTATTTTTTAAATAGTATAAAATTGTTTTGATAATTTTAAATTTACTAGGCATACCAGCTTAAGCGGCTATATGTCATTTTAAAGAATATAAAACAAATATATTTTCCTTACCAGAATTTTCTTCAAATATTTGAATTGTGTCTCCAATATCGAGTGGTAATCCAAAACGAACATCACCTCTCCAATTATAAATAGCTGAAAAATCATAAATTATAATTATTTAAAAACAGTTAAATTTATAAATTATTTTAAAAATATAGAGCATCAGATATAATTTTTAATAAAAAAATATTGAGAAAAATGAACTATCACTTTATAGAATTATATCCATCTTCAATAATTGAAGATTAACATAAATCTAGGAAAAGAAAAGTACTTACCACATTATATTATACTATACTACACTATTATAGTAGTGTTTATATTATACTATTACAGTAGTACTTACTACTGAAAAAATAAATGAATAACTTCTCCAATAAGACAATAGACAATGCAGAAATAGTGAAAAATAAATCATACTAAGAAAGCTAAATGTAAGACTTGTTATGATAGATAGTATAAAAAGAACTACTGGATCATTCTTTTATTATTTGACCATTGGATGTCCCGGGTCTTTATATTCGTTTTGAAAGTTTTTTTTTTGGTTTAAGAAGTTTATAAAAATTTATGAATGTAATGGTAACATTACAGTAAATCTATCTCAACCAGAAGAAGAGATATGTTGATGTAAATGGAAAAAACCTAACGAATGTTACTTTCCCCAGGGCTAGGGTGTGAAGTTCTTCGTGCTTTAAAATGAAACGATCTGTATCGATTGATATTTTACCATAGGGAATTTCACCGTTATATGTTGGTATTTTGAATTATAAGTACTTTTTTGAGTTATCTCTAATACTTTGAGTATAAAGTAGGTTTGTCCCTAATATTTAGTGAAAGAAGTCGTAACTGTCTGGAGTCGTCACTGTTAATTAATAACACACTTTTAATTAACAGTCTTAATAACATTGGTTTGTGATATCAGTTATCAGTCCAAGTGTAATCTTGAGGCATGAAAGAGCTGGCTGAAGACCATACATTTTTTTCTTCCAAAATATGCCATGCCACCAAATTATGCATTACAAATGTTATCATTGTTTCATTAACATCATAGATGATAATTGGAAAATAAGTACTTTCGAAACATTTATTTGAGGGTAAGGTTTCATATCTGTCCAACATTTGGTTACATCAATGCCAACGGTTTTCTATTAAAACATAATAACTTTTACTACTATTTATATAAATTTAATATAATCATTCCTACTACCAATTCATCATATTGTTTTTTTATTATAAGAGAACAGGAGGATTTTAGTTATTTTTTTTATAGGCATTGGTGAAAGAAATGAAAATCATCATTTGATTTTTTTTAAATTTTGCTCTCATGTTGACTTGAAATATTTATGGTTTACTTTTAGCTCCATTATATTCATAGCCATTTTACCTTTCCAATAAACTAATAAAGTTTCTTAATTTAAACTGTATTAATTATTTGTAATTTCATGCTATGTAATTAGATTTTGTTGTTTGTGGCCATTTTATCTTGTGAAATATCTATGAAGTATGTATTTACTCAATAATTTTTAAGAAAACTCAAGTACTTTTAATAAAAACTTAATTAATAAATTTTTGTTCTCTATAAATAAATTGTGCATTTACTAAAAGAATATAAAGCATACAAAATGAAATCAATTTACATAATAAGCAGTAAGTCATATTATTCTAGATAAATAAATTTATCATTGTAATTTTCTAGTTAATTCAATGTTTCAAATCTCTGAACATACAAATAAGTAGTACAATATTTAGATTATTTAAAAAATGCTAACTTTGATCATATTCCAAGGAAAAAAAAGTGTTAAAAATTAATCTTAATCAATTAAATTATTGACAACTTGTAAACAGATCACTGTTTATAACCTGCCCATTCACAACCTATTAATGATTACTACTTCATGATAATTAATAATGAAAAATTTAAAACTTCATTTAATAAAATCTCCTTTTGTAATGAAATTGTAACCATCGATCTTTAATTTAAAACATACAAACATACGATACAGATATAAAAGTACTATTTGCCTGTAATTAATATAGTGTTGTTGAACTACTTACTAAATGTAAATTAATATATAATTAATCGTTATTGCAAAGAAATATAAACATTTAAGTTTTATACATTTTGACGCTAAAATAGAAAAAATTACTTTATACATATCATTATCTCTTTGTATGACGTTAATGCTGAACAAATACATAAACGTTAAGAGTGCTTTACAGTTTAAAGCAAATCATTGACACTCATTAAAATTCATCGCAATACAATTCAGAATTATATAAGTTTTAATAACAAATTCTATATCCTCAGAGGCTTTGCATTTCCATTACATCATGAATCCAAGGCTGTCACTAAATGACAGTATACCTCTATATAATGGAATAGTTTTAAAAATCAAGTTTAAACATTATCAGATGGAGCTGTCACAACAGCCTGATAAGACAGGGACTAGGGATTACTGACCTACTCCATATCTCTTGGCCTTCGCAGGTACCCACATGTTGTCCCTTGCCGCAGCAGTCACCAAAGGTTCATCTCCGACCAGTCCGAAGGCGAGGAGGCAGCCAACAATCAACAACACCCAACGTACAGAACTGCTGACAACAACTGCCCTGCCATCTTGTCCACCAGCGCCACTATCGACCCGTCGCCAATAGCTCCGTCCTTATCTCGTTTCCGTCCTCTTCAATGGAGTCTAGTTCCCTGCACAATCTCTTCTGTCCACTTCACAATAAAACCCACCGCCAGTCCTCTCTGCTCCTCTGCTCTGGCAACGATCATTTTCACAACTCAACACGTTAGGGGCAGCTTAAAATCGGTTGACTAGAAATTTTTAAACTAAGTATCACTAATTACCAGGCCCCGAATTTTGTACAGTAAAAAGCCTAGCACTATGTCATACCAGGGGTGCCCAGAAGGAGGTTCAAGTTACGCCATCAAAATTTTTGAGGGGAGAAAATTTTGACGGAGTTATGAATTATCGGTCTAAGAGACAATGGAAAAAACATGGAATATACGTAGCAAGTTTAGTTGCATATGATCTACGATTGTTCTAATTCTATTTTAGCTTTTTCTATTTATAAGGTAGGTTTTCGTGCCATCGATCTTTGGGGGAATGGGCACCCCTGTGTTATACAGTAAGAAAAAAAAACAAAACAAGAAATATACAGTAAAAAATATTAAATATGCAGCGAAAATCCTGGGGGTGCCCAGTATCCAACAAAACATCTAAAATATTGAAATAAACTAATGGATCTTCACAAAAAAACTAAGAAAGAAACCGAAGGTAGAATTAAAACTGAAACGAAAATTATTTCAATATATATTTTTTTCTTTATAACTTCTCCATTAACCAAAATAATGAAACAATAAACAAACGGGAAATAAAAATATACTCTTTAAAAACCAAAATAGGAAAGAAATACAAACTAACATTTAGCAATAAAAGACAATTAGAAATGG